ATATTTATTTTCGTTTCACATTTAAAAAACACTATCTAATATGGTTCATTTAACTAAATTTAAAGTAAATCCATGATATTTTACCAAAACAAAAAAGAGCTCAATTGTATCTCCTGTCTAAAATGATTGGACTGAACACATGGAGGGAAATCTAAGCTCGTACATCTGTGTTCTGGTACGCGGTGACAGCGATGAACTGCGTCTCGGTGAAGGTAAAGGTCTGGACTCTTCCTGGTTGGCTCGTGTCTTCTGTCCCGTCCTCGTTCACCTCCACCACATGGAGCCTGGGCTGGTACTTGTGCAGCGACTGGAGGACCACCATCTGGAGATTCAATGTGCGTCAGGAAAAAAAAATAAAAAATAAAAAAAGGAAAGAAAATAAAGCACATTTTCATTTGGCACGAAAATTAAAATCTCGAGAGCGCAGAAGTCCAAATGAAAAATAAAGTGCATAGGAGATAAAGAAAGACAAAAAGTAAAGGTGTTCAGTGAATTGTGGGGCTTTAAATTACCTGGCCCGTGTTGTTGGAGGCACCTTTGTTGTTTGTGAGCTTTAGTTTTCCAAAAGAGATTTCCTGACGCATCCAGTGCGCACCAGTGTTTGGTGAGTCCGGGTGCATATAAACTCTATTACCTTCATAAAAAAAATGGGCAAAAATGTGAAAAATATTTACAAATTTATGAAGGATTATTTTCTAACTAAATATATGAATATGAATATTTGATCAAACTAAAAACGTTTTTATAATTTTTTATTATTATTGTGGGGGGGTTCATGATAAAATACTACCTATCACATTTGTGTCCGCCTTGCCACAGGGCACCCACTTTCCGCCTTGGAATCGCCAGTGATTCGGATCAGCCAGTATGACATCCACAAATATATTGTAGTGCGCGGTGGGGTCGAGGCCCGAAACGTTGAAGCTTAAAAATGGAAACATTCGCCTAAAGAAAAAAGAAAAAAAGAAAAAAAAGCACAAAATCCCCAGTTTTTGTTGTTATTATTAAACTAGGCGTTAAATCATCCCATGGGTGTGCTTTTATCAGGGTAAAAAATAATAATAATTTGATTTAAAATAATAGATAAATAACTAAAATAATAAGATCATTTTGAGTTTGGCTGCATGTGCGCCCTTACCGGCCCTGCTTGGTGATGATCATCTCTGTCTGGTGTCTGTGAAACTTCAGCCACAGGGCCCTGTTGCACAGGTACACCTGCGCCTTCCCGGGAACCAGTCCCGCCTGCGCCGAGGAGAACTGGTAAAAAGCCCCTCCTTGGTACGTGTGTCCATACTGTTGCGCGTAGGGGTAGCCTGCTGCCGGGTAGGCTTGTGGAGAAGTGTTGCCTAAAAGGCTGTTGTACGCTCCATTGGTTATGACCGGGTGGTGGGCCATGTACCGGCTGGGGCTTCCGATGGAGAAAGCCGGGTGCGCGGGTCCATGCTGGCTCGGGTAGGGGAACATGGCGCCGGGGGCTGCTGCTGCTGCTGCTGAGACGGACTGCGGCTGAGTAGAGGGAGAAAAGATGCACCTCTCTCCTGCAGCTCCATCGAAATTATGACGGATGTCAGAGACTCCGTGCAGACCAGGAGAGAGTTTGCCCCTCTGGACGTCCCCTGATGCGTCCTTGGAGTCGGGGAAATTGTCTGCCTCTGACTGATTCGTCATCTCCCTGGAGTTTTTTTTCAGAGGTGAACTTCTCTCCAGGTTGTCACTCGCAGATAGAATAGGATGGTCCTGCAACGAGAGCTCCTCCGATCCATTGGAGCTCGCAAAGCCACTGCCCACATTCATAAATTTCTTGGAGAGTTCACTCGGCAGCGAGACGCAGTTCTCGACCTGCATAGCGCAATAGGCAGCAACTATTAGCTCAACCTATATCACGAGCTTTTGCGCACGCCTCTGCCTAATCTAACACCATCAAAAGCGCCTTTGCAACGACTTGCAGCGAGGAAGGCGGTAAATTAGCCAATTGACACCATCCTGCAATCAGGGTGGTTTCTCTCTCCATCACTCTGCCCGCTGCGCTAATGAAACAAGTGCTGCCATTGGTTAACTCGGGGCTGTAATTTAATTAGACAGCTCTTAATTAGGACAATCTGAGGCGCGCAGTGAGCAAAGTGATTTGTTTGTCGTGATGGGCCTATATATGTGATGGACGCGCATGGACTCCGACTGTTTCTCCCCATATTATTCATAATAATAAAATAAACCGCAGAAATACAGAAGGGAGGTCATTATTAAAGTTGTTTTCCGCCGTCAGCTGAGACTGCAGCTGCGTTATTTACCTATTCATGCGCCATGAGTGCCAAAGTATGTCGGCCGGAGAAACCAAAATATATTATTAACCAAAAACAACAAGGGGAAAAAAAATGACAGTCTGTGACAGGCAGTGCATCTGAAGCCTTAAAGTGTTTGTGATATAGCGTGAAATCATGGCGTCCCACTGAAGATGTGTTTATGAGTCCCAGCGCTGGTAAATATTTCATGCGCTAAAAGTTAGGAACCCGTGAGCTGATAGGAAGGAAAAGCTTCTAATACAAATATATGCGCATGGAATGGCAATTTAGAAATAATCTTGATATATATATATGTGATTCTTGAGGGGCAAGTATTAGGAAAAATAACTACAGACTCACTAAAATAAAATAAAATAAAATAATTAAAAATACGTTTTTCCTGAAAAAGTATTGAAGTAAAGAATGAGATCAAATGAGGTCAGTAATTAAACTTGTCTGAGCATTCCCAAAAACTCTATGAGGTTTATTGAAGGATATAATAAAACAGTTTTTATTAAGATGAAACATCACTTTAATTCAGTGGGAGCGATAATAAAGATTATTGTACAATGTTTCTTAACAAAACCTATCTGAGAAAATGATTTTAAGTTAATGTGATCATAATTATTTGCATTTTCTTTCACTAATGTTAAATAGCTAAACCTATTGTGTCTTCTTATTAATGTATGAAGTAGAAGATGTATCTCTAAAAATAAAAAATTAAACTTTTAGTCCTCTATAATGCAGTATGATGAGCCAATTAGGACCATCTGAACCAAATCGGCTTAAAGGAACACAAGAGAAGGCCTATTTCATTGGAGGGTTTAACCACTATTCTGTATATCTCTAATGAACAGCCATGGATCTCTGAAGCTAACAAGAGGGGTCATTACAGAAGGGCTACAGGGTCCAGCAATCTATTTCTGAGAAACATGCAAGCACAGACTTGTCTGTACCAAAGGAAAAGAGGCCATTCTCTGCTCTGCTCATTACAGGATTATGGTTCAGTTCCATCCATGGTCTTTAATAAGCATTGCTCTCTCTTTCCATCTCCCCCTCTCTGACTGAAGAAACCAATTGTTGAACCAACCGTGCAGCAACTCAGTGTGCCTCCCCAGGTGCAGGTGTGCCGAGCCTGTTTACCAGGCTAACTGTATTCCTTATTGGCTCAGCTGTAGTGGACATAACCAAAGAGGTGGGGGCTGATTTGTTCTGCTTGTGACCAGATTTGTCCCTCAGGGAGACATGAAGCGGTGCAGGTTAGGATGTCTGCCTCCTGCCTTGAACAGAACCTCCTTTGACCAGATGAACATAGTGACTCACCCTGAACAGCATCTATAGCTATTTATATTTAAAAATAATATATGTAAATGCTTGTATGTGCATGCAGTTACATCTTGTCAGTAAATTATTGAATACATTGCAACCAAACCAACGTTTTCCGTTGAAGTAACATGAACAAAAACAGCTCTCTTAGAAGTTATGTGAAAAATTGATGATTTGTTCTGAGAAATTTTTTTGTCGCGTGAAATTTTGCGTTTGTTTAATTGTGATTGACTGAACTCCTTCCTGCAGTTATTTAGATTTGCAAAATCCATTTGAACGTGCTTTAAGTTGAGCGAACCTTTGGTTTTCGTGAGGTTGCTTTGGATTAGTGAAGTGGTGACATTTCTTAAACTAATGTTGATTCTGCACTTTTATTTTATCTTACTTAAGGAAATGATGCCACTAATCTGGATATTTATTTTCTAACACACTTTTCTGTCCTTGTTTGAACAAAATGCAGTAGTCTCTCACTACTTCGCGGTTCGACTTTTGTGAACTCGCTATTTCGCAGTTTGTCAATGCACTTTTTTTTTTATTGGAAAGGGCACATGATTGTCAACTTTAATATTACTCACGTGATTGGGACAGTACTGAATACAGTACTGTACAGTAAAAAGTTACTAAGAAAATAAAATACTTTGGACAGGTGCTGCCATTTTCTCTCAATAAGGTTACACTGTCCTGCTCATAACAACCACATTTCCCAGAAGACAACAGGGCTCCGCCCAGAAGCCCCGTTTCCGTCTGCTGAAATACATGGGGCCACCGTAGGTCTGGGGCTCCATCCATCAGGACTTTTTTCATCCAGACTTGGACTCAATCAAGCACCTCCGGTCTGCACCGGCCAACAACAACCCCCCCCCCCCCCCCCCCCCCCCCCCCC